TGTAGCCATTTTATGATGGAGTGATATTGTCATACTGGTGGTTCATGACAGCATGTTGGGTGGAAGACTGAATTTGATGTATTGTGAGACCATTAAGCTGACTATGTATGTGATGATGTTACTGTGCCCCTTGGTGTTGGGTGGGCTAAATCGTTGCACATGGCCTACTGTTGTGCTGTTGTGAGAAAGTTTGTGATTGTGTGAATACTGTTGCGAATAAAGTGTGCAGCTGTTCCCTTTTTTTGTGAAGTCGTGTCCTCATAAGTGACATGTCCCCTCCAGGGCATGAAGAAAAAAACAACAAATGTTCCATGTAGGGGGCACACAGTAATAAAAACCTGACAACGAAAAAAGTTCTTTGTGTGTGTCTTTTGGAGAGATTTTCCCCTTGCTTCTGGTCTGGAAGAACTCATATCATCAAGACAAGAAAATAAATAAAATCACCCCTACAGGGACATGAACAACAAAAAAATTAGACAGGAGGTTCTGACCTTTCCTCACTCTGTCCAAAACAAAAACAAACAAACAAAAAAATAATAATATATATATATGCAGCTGGAGTACTTCTGTAAGCTGGGCTCATGTGCTTAATCTTAACATGCTTCCTGGCAGCACCCCTGCAGGGGTGATGCTAAGCACAGAAAGCTAAAGGCATATGTATTCACTAGCATTAACCAAGGATCTGTATCACATACCTAATGCACTTCTGTTAGCCCCAACAACTCAGTCAGCTTTGAATTGATCCTGTAGCACATAGAAGAAATGCTCACAGGGCCATTATAATTCTAGATGGCTGGTCACAGAGGACAGTCCTATTCCATACTACCCATAGTGCCTATGCCCTATTCAAATACAAGGCTATCCAAGTCCAAAGCTGTCCTGGGTTATCAATCCTAATCAAGAGCTGTATGAGAATGAGTGATCTGAAACACCCAAAGCCTGCCGGGCTGTAGTGATGTTCTGCAATAACGGGTTAGACATTGAATAAAACAGGAACTTGCCTAGGTAACTTGTAAACAGAATTTTATTTGAAGAGAAACATCTAGGGCCTGGTTTCCAATGCTTGTACATGCCAACTACAGAGGGAATTTTCAGTATTTTTTACTGGAAATTTTGGAGTATTTTCAGTGCTTTCTTGAAGCCATTGAAGCACCTTTTACCTCTGGTCTGGGAAATGTAAAATCTTAAGAGGGTCTCTAGGTTTTTAAAGGTCTCTAGATTATGATGAGGCAATTATATACGTAACCCTTATCTCCATTCCTCTGATCCAGAGAACATCAGGTGTAAATCTGGAAGACTTCCCTTGGCTGTGCCCTTTACAGCCTACTAACTTCCAGTGAAATTCCTATAGGTGTGCGTTGGTGATGACTAATTCAAGAAGGCAGCAGAGCATGGTTTGAGGGATGAAATGTTAGCATGTAGTTCACTGGATCAGAAGAACAGAGGTACATGTTACCTCAACAGTGGGTCCGCACTGCATCTGAGGTCTGTATGGGAGCATGCTAGATAGCAGGGATGGTAAGGAGCATACACCTATACTTTACATGAGTGGTGAGGGTCACAGTGTCCTTTCAGCAAGAAGCATGCTAAAAACTTCATACAAGCTTTGCAAATGCTGGCTGTAGAAATGGATCTTCAGGCTAGTCTTTAGAAGCCAAGACTAAGTAAGCTGGCGAAGTGAGACTGGCTATTAATCTATTTTTTTTTCACTGAAAGAATTAATGTTTTCAACCAAGTTTTTGCTTCCTATTATTTTTGTATGACCTTTTGTTTTTAAGAACTGTATGCAGTACAATATGGCTGCTGCAGCCACCAGCTATACTACTTTAATGTTGTTCCCCTCTTTAACTAGATAGTCCTGTATCTAAGCCAGCAATAGTTTTAAACTACAAAATAAAATGTAAAAGTGCTTTTACTAATGTAAACAAGAGCTGTGCTATAAGCAAAAACATTTATGTGGTAAACGTTCCAGAAGGATACATTAATTGGAGAAAACCTACATAAACTACAGCTACGGCTGTATCGTTTTACTGTGTCCAGTAATTTAAGATGTGGTTGTATGGAAGGATGAACAAACAAGATATGTTTCTCATAAGTGACTTAATTTGCCTGCAGATGAAGGTGCTTGCAGTGCGGAAGGGCCTTACGCCAGCTTTTTGATGAGTCACCAGTGGTCATAGCTCCTGGCGCATGACTGCATTATGTGCTAGTGCAATCACCTTAATCCAATTTTTCTCTGTGGAAATGGAATTCTGAACATATCTCCAAGGGGCTGTTAATGCAAGCTTCAAACTAACTGCCACCACTAATTAAAATAGGCACAATGATTTTAGATTAAGGAGATTGCCATTGCAGTTTCAAGTATGCTGCCGGTTTAGTGAGGCAAACAAGAGGCCTAAGTGGGTGGCTACTTAGATCAGTTTACATAAGCTTCCTTTAAAGCAAAACCAGCTGTCCAGATAAAACGTATGAAATCAGTTCTATTTTATCCTTATTAGACCTTGAATATCTTGTAAAGAAGCAAAATGGTGTTCCTTCATCACTTGCAAAAGGTGTAAGTGCTGCAGCTCAGAAGCACACAAACTAAAGTCACAGATTATTCCGTGTATGAAGACTGTGAATCAGAGTCAATGTTAGTTTATCACTCAAAGGATGGTCAAATACTTCTTGTTCTGATGACAACTCTCAAATTCTGAATTTTTATGTCTTGGTGTCAATTGTCACCAGGTCAAATACAGGGTTGAATTCCCCCAGCGGGGACACAAACGGCACAGAAACTTGGGGTTCTAATCCTTTCATACTCTATTCAAAACTAAAATAATAAACAAAGTTTTGGCTATACAAATACTCTAATATAATAAAGGGACTATATACACCGATCAGCCAAACATTATGACTACCTGCCTAATATTGAGTAGGTCCCCTTTTTGCTGACAAAACAGCCCTGACCTGTTGAGACATGGACTCCACCAGACCTCTGAAGGTATGATGTGTTATCTGGCACCAAGGCTTTAGCGGCAGATCCTTTAAGTTGTGAGGCGGGGCATCCATGCATTGGACTTGCACATCCCACAGATGCTCCCTGTTTACCGGTTTTCTTTCCATGAACCACTTTTGGTAGGTCCTGACCACTGCAGACCGGGAAAATCCCACAAGAGCTGCAGTTTTGGACTTGCTCTGACCCAGGCATCTAGCCATCACAATTTGGACCTTGTCAAAGTTACACAAATCTTTACGCATGCCCATTTTTTTCTGCTTCCAACACAACTTCAGGGACACAATGTTCACTTGCTGCCTTATATATCCCACCCACTGTCAGTGTAACGACATAATTGATGTTATTCATTTCACCTTTCAGTTGTCATAATGTTATAGGTGATCGGTATGTATATCATCATATTTTACCCAATATTACCAGAAAATAAAATATATATTTTTTTAAAAGGTGACAAATAAGTGAAGGATAACTTGTAAAGCAAACTCAACAAACGCATGCTCACAAACTTACAAATATGTCAAATATCTCCATTTGTACAGGTGTGGACTTTTGTTAAGGGTCACACAGTTACCAAGGTTGTGCTATACTTCCTTCATATGTCCATAATATCAGAAAAGCAACCTGTGAGTTGGACCATTAATGCCTTAGGCTGGCAATAACATGCCTAGGGGCTATGAAATGCCAGCAGTATGGGCAATGTAGCCGTTCCTGCTCATAGTAGCCATGCTGCTTTAAGCGCAGACCTATTGTACAGTATATGTCCTATTTCTTGCTTGGTTAGGAAAGGAGATGTTGCGGCCTTTATGATTTGTAGGCTATTGTCTGAAGGAAATAACATTACCCGTGAATTCCTTGTGTATAATGTCTGCTACAAATGTTTTTAGTGATAACTAAAGCTGGCCATACATGATGCAAATTTCAGCCGGTTCTCTAGGAACAGACCAATATCCGCCCAGTGGTTGTCGGCACCCTTCTGGCCGTCATCCCTCAATGAGCTAATCAAAGGAGCCGGTTGGAAAATCTCTGAACGAAAAGAGTCGGCAGCCAATGTCAGAATACAAAGGAATCAGCAGGAGATTCCTTGGTCGATGCTGGTAAGCGCTGATGGAAGAATCTGTTCCATTATTTTCATTCAGCCTGTGAGTTGAATGAAAAAAAAATAGAACAGTGTATGGCCAGCTTTAAACTCAATGAAAGTCTGAAAGAAGAAACTGTCCCCATTGCTTATGACAACCAATAGGGACCTTCCTTTTTTCACAAATATCAACTTATCAAGGTTTCAGTCTTATTTCCGGATTCGGGAAATGCAGACAAATCTTATTTCAGAAACATTAAAACAAAGCTGTCAGAATAGAACCATGAAACAAGGGCTGTTTCCAGGGCTTTAATCCTTGTCATCCATTCACTACTTCATACGTTTCTTACCTGGAACAAGCACCTAAATAGCTGATGTCAGGACATATGATATACACGTTCTTATGTAGGGTGAGGGACATGCTAGGTAGTAAAGCAACCATGAGTATCACAGGCCTGGAACATGTACCTTTAAAAAACAAGTTAGCAAGGCAACTCTCAAATTACTTTCCTGAAGGCTTCCTTTTAGGGTTTATTCATTCTGTGGACAGTGGAAAGGAAAGGATTGGTTGCCCTGGCTTACTGTAATTTACATACTGCTGTTTGCTTTAGAAAATAAGCTTGTGAATGATAAAGTCACTGTATCCCTGTAGAAGCTAAAAACTATTTTGCAGACCCGCTAAGACACAAATGCATAACTGCACATAAAAAAAAAAATCTTAAAAATAATAAGCAAAAAATGACATTAACATGGAACAATACAATAAAAACATTTCCTTGCTCTCCGGAAATCACTTACAGAACCACAAAAGGTTGGATTCCTGTTTAATAAACAACATGAGCAAAATATAAAAAAAAAATGCTGCAGGGAATTTCAAAGCAATATAAAACGTGTGCGATACCTGCTCTGCTTTCTGATTACACTTACATGATTTTCTGTTGGAGATTTTCTGTGGTTGCGTCAGGACTACCGGCTTCCTTAGTGCAAATCTCCTGCAGTCGAAAGAGAAAGTACATCAAGAACTATGAAAATTCAACATCTCCATTACGGGATTAGGCATTTTTATGAAACACATCTCACTAAAGACTTCTGCTATTCCTTTATTTTTATTTTGTAAAGTCTCTTGAAAGATAAAAGAGAAAAAAATGCAAGCACTGCCTAATCTATCACGGCTTTGATAAAAAATAAAACCAGAAGGTTTTTTTTTTTGCAGTTACTTTCCTTTTGCAACTGGTCCAAAAAATGTTACAGTACTTATTCCTGTAGAGTGCATCAATGGGCCTGCAATACTGATGTGCTTTTTTCCATATGGTCTCATTCCAACCTGGATCAGAACAAGCGCTATCGTTTTCTGTCATTAGTCTTTTTTGGCCAGACAAGTGAGCAAGTCAGAAATATTTAAGAAAAGGGTTTTTAAGTTCATTTTGGGCCGGTCGTGACCCCTGACATTTGCGAACAGAGATTGGTAAGCTACCTACAATATGGTAACATTCAAAGCAGCTTTTAGACGTTAGAGAGAAAAGGTGGTAAGAAAACTGTGGTACGATAGAAGATTGACAAAAAGAAAGAGAGAGAGAAAAAGAAAGCAAGAGACAGC